ATTGTTCATCTTACTTGATGCGAGGATCTATACCTAAAATCTTAATGTGAACTATAATTTTTTTAATTAAGAATATATATTTCTTCTTTATTTTTTATTTACTGAACGATATTAAATTAAGTAAATGGCTATTATTATTCTTATGCGTTTATTGTAATTTTTATGTAAAATCTCCAACCATTGATGTAATTATAGGGAAGAAAATAAAACATTTTAAAAGAAAATCACCTATACGATAGGGACAATACAAGTATCTCCAAATTAATCCTAACTATAGAATGTGTTATTCACAATTTCATCAATATGAATTTTTCTGAATTTGATATTAACCTCTTTAGCTGATGTCTATGACATGAAGATTGTTATGTTCTATGAACTATATCATTTGGAGTTAATTATTCTTTGGTAAATTTTTAATTTAACAAAATGGATATTGCTTGGTGAGTAGTTGTCCAACTTTATCAAAATTCATACACTTCGATTGGGTTGTTGTCCAACTGCTCATGGATCCATATATATATATCATAGCTTGCTGAGTTGTTGTTATTATTAAAGAAATAATTATTTGTTTTTATTGATTCTTTTTAGAAAACTTTTAAAAATTATTATATTAAATTTTTAAGAAATTAGCTCAAAATACCGATTACCAAAATTGTTCTTCCTTTATCACTTCCAACATTCCTTTAGTCAAATTTCATGCAACCACTACAATTGATCTTGTTTGTGTTTCGGTCTGGGGAGCTAGGATTTTATATGAATGTGATTTTGTTTTATTTTATTTGAGAAAACAACATATGATCAATGAAATTAAAAAAAAAATTATTCTTGAGAAAATTCAAAATTCTCCTTTTTCTAGTATCTTATAATAGAAAGAATAAATTTAAAAACAACTCAAGAAAAATTTTAAAAAATAATTTATTTTAAGAATTTTTTTATAAGTACTCTAAAGTCAAAATAAATAGATAAACAGTTATAAGTAATTACGATGAGAGACATACTATTTTATAAAAAAATTAATTTCTTAACCAATACTTTATTTTAATTTTTGTCAAATATTTTATTATTTTAAATATCATCATTTTCTTATTTTAATAAAAGTTGAGAACAGTCAGCCTAGCTTGATAGGTCGAAAATATTTGGGCCGGACACATAGTTATTGACTCATCAAACTAAACAGATCTAATTGGGCCACCTAGTTAAAATCAGGTAGGCCTTTTAATTTTTGGCATGAATCAGCCCATTTATAATGCCTTAAGTTGTGTTTAGAGAAATGAATTCTAATTACTAGATTATATATTTGGACAAGATTAAATAATTTTTTTTGATCAAATAGAATGAATTTTAATCAACAAATTTTTGTATATAATTTAAAAACTCCTTAATTATCCTTAGCTTTTTATAATTATCATTTATAACTTCTCTCATACTTTATTCTCACTTAAATTATCATTTATAATTGAATTTATATTTTCCAAGATTTCTAAATTTCTCAATCTAAACACAAATTAAGTTTTTATTTAATTAATCTTGATTATGAAATTGCAATTTTTTGTGTTGATTTTGAACCCTCACATCATTCAACATTTGCTACTTATACAGAAATGAAGCCACATCTATAATCTTATTAGCATAAAGTCCTTAATCTAAAGTATTTCGTTTCTCTTGGAAAAGGAGATTAAATATATTTGATGTGTCTGAATATTCAGGTTGTTTGAGTGTTTATTTAATAAAATTTTTAAAAATATTTTTAATATTATATATTTAACAATAAAATTTATTTAGAGAAATTAAAAACAACTTATTATAATAAGCTATGTTAAAAAGTTTATTTAAATAAATAAATAAATAAAAATTTACCCCACTTAAGCTATTTTTATAAGTTATTCATAATTTTTTTCAAACTATCCCATAGAATTGAAAATAAAATAAAATCAACAAGTCGACAATTGCAAGCATATACGTATCATGAACATGGCTAGAAAAGAAGTACAAGAAAAAGAAAAGAGAGAGAGAGAGAGTAGAAAATGGTGAAGAACATATGTGATATTAAAAAAAAAATCCAAATATATAATCAACGAAGCACAAGCCAGAAATTAGGTCAGCTTTTTCTAACGTTGATTTGGCTTAGCCACTTTAAAGAATTCAATAATTATAAAAATAAAACCTAATTAATCAATATCAATCCTTCAGTACGTAATTAATGTTGACAATGTACCAAACATTGTCCACTTCTGTATAACAATTTCGAGTCTTTAATATAAAGTACCCTTCTTTTAGATAAAAAAAAAATTATGGAATTTTTTAACCTTAAATTTAAGTATTTATAAATAAAAAAAATTTATAAAAAAATAAACAGTCATTATATTGAATTTATAAAAATATAATAAATATTTATTTTTGTAATAAAATTTTTTTTTATTATTAACTATTTATTTTCAGTTACCGAAGTTAATAAAATCTAAAAATTATAAAATTATATTAAAATTGGATTTTTATCTGTCTCTGTTAAAAACTTGCAAAAGACTATTTCTAGAAATTTATGTTTAAGTCACTTTAAAAAATTAACTCTAAACTCATTTCTTAACATCCACATATATTATAATAAAAACAAAAAACTCTTAGAATTTTCAAATGGTCCCCAAAAACAAGAAAAGAAAAAGAAACAACAAAATAATGCATAGCTCCCGCAGAGACAAGCAAACATAATGGGGTTTTGTAAAATATCCATAATTTTAGATAAATTTCAAGCTGTAGTCCTTATTGAGAACTAGTCATGATTTATAGATGTATTGAATAGAATGCAGGCATTGACTGATTAAAGTTTCAATAAACTTTCATATTGATTTTTAATGAAGATATAGGAGAGGTAGAGATGCTTATATGTCAGGAAGATTTGCATAAAATCAGATATAATATTATAATAAGAGGTTGCAATTTGAGGGTGCAGAAACAAACTTGAAAAATCACTAACATAAGACTCTTCAAAGTTATTTCTCTTTTAACTTATCCATTCAGATGGTCTCTCCAAATATATAAATCAATTAGGAGCACAACTAAAATGACAAAATTCCAATCTGACAAGCAATTTTGGTTAAAACTATCAACATTTAAACAATAAAATAATAACAATAATAATACTAAACTCAGGCACTCCAACCAATGAAGGTCAGAATCAAGAGTTGAATGTGACTGTTATCATTCAATAAGAGAATAATCTCTAATTATGTAACACATTTCAATAAATAAATAAAAAAGTCTTATTAATCAGTGTCTCAAGGATAATAACTAAAAAATTAAAAGTGATTTTTTATTTTTATAAAAATTAGAGAACTAAAAGGTATTTTTATATTTAAAGTGTTGAAGATTACTTTTTACTTGTAGTTAATAATTATTGTTAATTTGAAAGAATTTTACACATGGTGAAGTTCAAACACAACACAATTGACTACAAATAAAGTTTTATATTTTAAGAATTCAGTTTAAATTAGATTGAAAGACATAAAAATAAATACATTAATATTTGTCTAAATAATTAGCATTTGCATAATGCAATCAAGTAGCCTTGTTTTGTGTTGACCATGTTACTCTCCTATAGTTGCTCCCTTGGGTTGTGTTCCTCTTAAGCAGAGCCCTCGTGCATGAGAGGAGCCAACTCAAAAAGGACAAGAAATCAAGATATTCATAAGCATAGTAGATTGCGTTTATAGCCAGACAATTCAAGCTGTTCATTTGCAAGGTTTGCACAAGTACCAATACATCACCACATGCATCTGCTACATCAATTCCCTTACAATCATGGGAATATACAGAGGAGCAATGTAAAGGGTATGGGTATATAAATCTTGTCATTCATGGGTCAAAGGAAAAAAAGATAAGCATTTATCACTATTGTCTTACAACTAGAATTTTTATTATGAAATGCTCTATGATATAAAATAATGGACAACAGAGTCCAAAAATTAGGAGCAAACTTGGGCATTAATTATTTAGAGAAGACTTGGACCAAAGACATGAATTCAGAATGCAATTGGATAAAATTCACATAAATTTCGTCTCAATCCCACTCAGCTGCACATATCATTATTGCAAGGATAATATTAAACAAATGAATACTTTACTCTGAAAATAAGAATTAGAGTTGACTTTAGATTTAAATTATAAATATTCAAACAAAGAAGGCTAATGCAAGGGACGAGTGGTGAAAACCACACCATTAGAACTCTCATAAGTGTTCTTATACTTCAATCCTCCCTATAGAAGGTGATATCCTTTGATAATATTGTATGAATTACTCCATGACCAACTAAACTAAGCAATTAAATAATCTTTTTCAAACTTTCATTGGGGGGCAGTCATTATATCAGCTAACTCTCTCCCACCCCAGTGAAATAAAATAACTGATTTTCTTGACTAGTGTAATATTGTATATTATATATGACAAGAAATTAATAAATAATATTTTTTTATTAAAAATTGTAATTCTTAATAGTGTCAATATACATAATTATATTAAATTTTAAATTTTTAATAAAAATTTATTATATATGATATTTTTTATTATGTACAGTATTGTCTAAATTAAATAAAATGGATAAAATAATGATGTTAAAAGGAATGCCAATACCATGCCAAACAAGAATTTCATTCTTGAAAATGAAAATCAACCACCTCACCTGTGAATGTAAACCGAAAGTTGAATTGAAGTGATCCTATATCCTATGTCACTTTACTTCTTTGAATCTTTAGCTGTTTTTTTTTTTTTTTTCTTTCTTGATCATTGAAACTTCTGACAGAATAGTTTGGCATTGGCAAAAGCTGGAAGGTACTAAAATACAGCTCCAAACAAGTTGTAACGGACAAGGCCTCTATTTGCCAATAAGGTATCCAATTTTGGTTACTTTTTCACTCATAAAGTGACATCCAAAAGAAAAAGAAGGCATAAGTCCCATTTGCATCAACCTATAAGAATATCACCTCCCACTAACTCTGTTTCTCCCGTTTCCACTCTGCTTCAAAACAGAGCAAACAGAGTGGAAAGCAAAGGCTAAAAAGGCTCCACCACTTCCACCACCACCACCGCTCCTAATGGACCCACCACCCCTCTCCACCACCCTGGCCACCTCAACCATCACCCAACAACACCATCCTGATTCAGTAGAGTCCTCATCGCCGCGATCACGCAACGCCGAAACATGGAATGATGAGCCTCTCCCTCCTATTCCTGGTGCCAAACTTCGCCTCATGTGCAGCTATGGTGGCCACATTATGCCACGTCCTCATGATAAGTCCCTCTGCTATGTCGGCGGCGACACGAGGATCGTGGTGGTGGATCGCCATTCCTCACTGAAAGAGCTATGTGAACGCCTCTCCCGAACCATTCTCAATGGTAGACCCTTCACGCTCAAGTACCAGCTTCCCAATGAGGACCTTGACAACCTCATCACTGTCACCACTGATGAAGATCTTGACAACATGATAGAAGAGTATGATCGTGTAGCTGCAAAACCTTCTCCTTCACGCTTAAGGGTGTTCTTGTTCTTCACCAAACCTGAGACTACAGCTTCAATGGGGTCACTCCTTGATGATGCCAAGTCAGAGACATGGTTTGTAGATGCACTCAATAACTCAGGAATTCTCTCAAGGGTGGTGTCAGATTCTGCTGCAGGGGATTGTTTTGTGAACCTTGATGGTGTTGGTGGTGTTAGTGCCAGTGGCTCAAGCAATAACTTGGAGGCTCAAGGTGGTGATGCCAATAACAAGGTTAAGAATTTGCATGATGTTGTGCAATCAATGCCTGGTTCACCTATGATGGAGAATACTTCTTCTTCATCTCCTTCTATGGCTAATTTGCCACCGATTCGGGTTCGTGTTGATGACAACGGTAGTAGGCTTCAGCAAGAGAATAAGGTTGGGGTTGGAGTGGTGGAGGAGCAGTTTGCTCAGATGACAATAGCTGCAAGTGGAGTGAAGCCAGATGATGGGTTTGTAAATGTTGTTTCTTCTGCAGCTGTGACTATGACTTCACTTGGTGTGGTTGCTGCTAGTGATAATGTGAATAGGGTTGTTTCTGATGATGAGAGATCGGATCATGGATTTAGGAAACCACCTTTACCATTGCAGCTTGTGCAACCAAGGACTAGTGCTGGTTTGAGTCTGCCTTCTCCTGATTCAGTTGCAAGGTATCTATCATTTTTTGTGTCTGATTTTATGTTTGTTTTTTACTTACAACTTTTGCTTTTTCAATACCTTAATATATTGCTCTTTTGAAGTAAAATCACACACCACTTTTAATTTAGGTGATGATGATAATATGTGTTTTGAAATTGTTGTTTTGGTGAATATTTTCAGTGACAGTAGTATTGCATCTACAAATTCTTTCTCCAAGATTGTTTATTATCAAGATCAAGTCCAAGCTGCTCCTATAGATAACAAAGTTGTTGCTTTGCCAAATGCCAAGAGTGAAATATCTGATCAAGTCCTTGGACTACAAAGGGAACAGGTTCATGATTCTGGTTACACATTACCCCCACAATTGGATCAAAATCAACAAGTTCAACAGCCATTGGTCCATGCCAACACTCATTACATCCACCACCCTACAGCCACAGGTCCTATGCCAGTTTCATCCTACTACCCAGTTTATCCCCCACCACCACAAAAACAACAACTTCCCCATCCAATTGGTCAACAACAGTACCCAGTTTATGTGATGCCTGTTGGACCTACACAACCATACAGCATGGCATTGCAACCCAACATAGCTGATCCAAATGTTGTAGCCTCAGGTAGGCCACTAATACCCCCTCAAAGTGTTGTTGCCTCAACAACATACAAGGAAGGAACTCCACCTATTTATCCCACCAAATCAGTTACTCCTACCATACCTGAAGTGACTCCAAGTGTTTACAAAGCTCCAGTGGCATCAAATCCTGCATTTGTTCCAATAACTCCCAATCAATTTCAGCCACATTATATGGGTTTGCCTCAGTTCCATCATCCACCACAGTCCATTGCTGTGGCTCCTTCTAGTACTACTAATTATGGTTATGAATATGGTGCCCATGTTCAAGACCAAGCATACTACACAACACAACAAACTACTACGCCTTTGCTTCCTCAGTACCAATCCATGACTCCAGCTGTAGCTGCTGCAGCACTTTCAGATGCTTCAAAACAATTTCCTGCAGACAATAACCAGCATCCAAACAGAACTTCACAGCCTGCATAAACCAAAGTGGAGAAAAATGAACCAGTTTGGGGTGGTGTGGGGTGGGGTGAGGGGTCATTGGACTTTAATTTTTTAACAATGAAAATATGGAGCTCAGTTTCTACAGAAAAAATAAGGACCAAATCATAGTTTATTTCTTCTTATCTATATTGAAATGAATGACATGTAAGATCATATTTTGCAAAACTAGCTTTTCTGGTTATCAGAGTCACTCAGTTGAATAAGGCAAGTAGTTGCCATTAGCTATGATGAGGGAGTTTTTTAGTGCTTTCATTTTAAATTTTATTGTATTACTTAGATTCACTTGGAAATCACGTTTATTTTGTTTTTTCTGATTAAGAAAACCAACATCAGATTTCAGAAATTAGTAATTCAGCCATTTGATTATTTCTACACCTAGTACTGTTTTGAGCATAGCCTTAGCAAGGCTAATATATATAATCAAATAAGATATGGCATGCTTAAATTGTACATGAAAGTGGTTCAAGTAAATTCCTTAGTGAAGATAGGACCATATTTTGTCTTTGATGAACACCATTTAGCCAAAAAGAAAATGACTCAGTGGAATTGTGGATATATATCCTAACATTTGATTCATGGTAGATGATAATGTAAAGATGGCTAGTGAAAGATTGGTTTCTAATGGTTTTTTGAAGTCAATGATTGGAAGGGTTTCGCCTTTCACGCAAAAATTGCTACAGAATCAGCATGATGCAAGCCTCTCTGACATTTATTATTGGCACATAACGAGGGGGAATCTATGAACATGCATGCAGCGTGCCCAAGATCTAGCTCTAGTTTAAGATCTAAAGACTAGATCACAATTTTTTGAAACCTAAATTAAGACGTGCTTTTTATGTGCTTTATATTATATTTGTTTGTTTTGATAAAAATTAAATATATAAGAAAAAGTATAGACAAATAAACATTTTATTTATTTATATATTTTGTTTTATATGAATAGAACAAAAAAATTCTTTCACACAGGATTATCATTTTTTTTTCTTACACAAAATAATCAGATTTTGAATGAAAAGAAACGTATAAATTTTTATATATTTTATTAAAAATACTTTTAAAATAATATAAAAATATTAAAAATTACATAATTAAGAAAAATTCTTATACTTTTCTATTAAAATAAAATTTGTATTATTATAATACAAATAGTTTTTAATATAAATTATTTTTTTTAGCTTCTTTTTCATTCATTCAAGTAAATAAAAAGAAATCATTTCTTTCTTCTTTATTTCTATCAATTCAAATAATACATTTTTATAATATTATTTTTTAATTATTTTTTTAACTTATTTTGTACTCCATCTAGACATACCAATAGTGGAGCATATTCGCCTATTTGTTCTTATTACATGGGGATACGACATATTATTATAGTAACATATTCACCAATTTGTTCTTATAAACAAGGTGATATGACATATTTATTGTTAATAATCTTTCTATATTGATTTTTTATTTGTGCTATTTAAATAATTTTTTATCTCTTTTATTACCTCTTTATTTTTTTCTTTTGTCCTTTATTTCATACATCCATTTTAGCCCAAGGATGTGAAAATATTTTTAAAATTTATTAAAAATTATAAAAATATAAAAAATTATTAAATTTAAAATAAAAAGATTAAATTTCATATAAATTTTAATTAATCCCTAATAAACTATTAAAAATTTTACTGATATTTTTCAAATTTTACTATTTTTTTTGTGACATAACACAAAGCAAACCTCCATGATGCAACAGGTCCATTCAAATTTCATTACTGTTTAGTGTGGTTTCTGACGTGAGATCAAACCTTCTCCAAAAATGATAGGGTGAACACGTGTTGTGTGTTATGCATATTTTGGCTTTATATATGAAAACGAGCTTCTTATATTATGATACACTTAATTTTAAGTTTTTATTTAATTTAAATTTAATAATTAATAAAGTAATAAATTATAATCTATTAAATTTAAATTTAAATTAAATAAAAGGTTTAGATTAAATATAATAATTTTTAAATTTATATTAGTATACAAAAATCATACATTTATATATATATATATATATATATAATCATATTTTTATACTACTTTAAATTTAAAAGTTTTTATATTTAATTTAAATTTTTAATTTAATTTTCATCTAATAATAATTATATTTAATCATTCAAATAACACCGACTTTCGTGGCACATGGGCATTGACCAGTATGCATGGAATTGATTGAAGTGAAAAGGTAATTACATTTTTGGTAATTTTTTTAATATAAGTGACATAAAAATATAAAAAAAATATTTTTTAATAATTTAAATGAACAATCATAATTTTTGAAGAGCTTAAATGATGGAAGGCTGAAGTGACTATGTGGTGAATCAAACATGGCCCTGTTTCCACCACCATCATCTGCATCTATCTTGATAGAGAAAACCCTCTTTCTCTGCATGCAATCACATGCACAATTCAGAAGTCAATGCCCTATGCATATCTTCAACTCAAGTAAATGGATTTCCTAAAAAGGTGATAATGGGCACTTTTTTATTTAAGTGTTTCGTCTATCTATAACCAATATTTTATTTGCTTTTTTTTGTGAATGAATATATAACAAGTTGAGAAATGTTAGTTATATAATAATAGTAAATAAGAAGATAAATAATGTGACAGAAAAAATAATATTATAAAACAATTATTTATAATATTATTTATATTTTTAATTTAAATAAATATTAATTTTAATATATTTATTTAAAATATAAAATTTATCTTTTTCTCCTCATTTCTTATAAACTCTTTCCAAATAACCCCTTTATTAATTTAATTTAGTCCACTGGTTCACGTAAGTGATTCATTTCATTCTTAACAAATTAACACACTCACCCTTAACCTCTATTCTATAAGGGGATAAGGTTTAGAATTAGAACCCTATTTATTTTATTTTATTTTTCTGAAGATAAAGTGCTCCACTTGGCATCTTCTAATGTCTAACCCGCACCTGATTTTTTTTTTATTGTCTGATTCTTATAAAAATGGTATAATTTAAATTCTGTATTTATAAAATATTTTGTTAAAATATATATTTTATTTTTTATAAATTATTATTTTTAATCCCTTTAATTGATGTTGTTGAATAAAAAATTAACACTTGTTAATATATATTTAAATAGATTAAGTTAATTAGAAAAATTAAAAATAATAATTTATAAAAAAATAAAAACTATATCATAAAAAAAATGTTATAGAAACTAAGTTTTAACTATAGAACTTTTATAAAGAGTAAACACTTAATTAAATCTAAAAAATAAATTAAAGGAAAATTTAATATATTGTTATAAAGAATTTATAATAGTATTAAATGTAAATATTTTATTAAAATAAAGTTTTAATTTTAATTAATAAATAAATTAGAAACTCTATCAAGTGTAATCCATTTGTAGGAAAGAAAACGAGGGACTTACTTCTCTTGCCATAGCTATTTATCATAGTCAGAATCGATGCATAGCTTTGAGAAAACTCATTATTCCACCATAGCCTCTAAGAAAGAGTAGTACAACATAATTAGTTTAACTATACAACAGATGTTTTTTATTCAAATAAAATTGTCTTTTAAAAAATTATTTATAACATTTAAATTTTAAAAAATATGTTATCTATGTAAAAAGTTAAATAATAATTAACTCTATTTTATACTTTATTTTTTCAAAAAAGTGATTTAGATGAAAATTGCAAGATTCATCTTATTAAACGCACCTCCTTTCAAGATTACTAACTTTTTTCAAGTTTGGTGCTTTTCTTAAAATGGCATTTGAGTCATCAATGTAATAGTTAGGATAAACAGAAAGGTTTAATTTTTTATAATGTTTCTTCATATAGACAGCGATACAAATCAATCATAATCAATTTTAAGAACTATTCTTACACGTTACACCAACTTTTGGCAACACATGTAGGGATTGCTTCTTATCTTCATATTGACCCGTTTGGAATGCGAAGAAAGAATAACAATGATCCAAACCCACCAAACCAAACATCCCCTAAAAAAGAAGAAAGCTAAAAACAAATAAATAAAACGTTTATGTTCACTAAACATTAAAAAAACCAAAAAAACAAAATGCTTCTAAACAACGTTGGCGCCGGATTCTATTGGGTCGACCCGCCACGACCCGACCCGAAAACCAAAACCCGAATCCCATCCTCGTGTTTTTATCGCCGGCGAGCGGCGTCGCCGTCTCCGGCGATTCCTGCGGCTTTCCAATGCGTGCGAATGGAGAAGAAAGGCGAGAACAACCGATCGATATGCACCGCCGATGAGCTTCACCGCGTCTCTGTTTCGAACTCCAATTGGAATCTCGCTCTGTGGCGCTACCTTCCTTCTCCCAAGGTTACTCTCTTCTCAAGTTTTCGACTTTGCGCTTTCTATGAATAACCTTTTGGCAATGCAATGATATAGCATCTGGATGCCTTTGGATTTTCTCGTTTTTATCGTAAAACTTAGAAAAAGGGTTCACTTTTTGTTATATTCAAAGGTGGTTTTGGTTAAAGATGTGAGTTTTACTTGTACTTTTCAGGCCCCGTTGAGGAATCACCCGCTTTTGTTATTGTCAGGGGTTGCAACCAATGCAATAGGCTATGATCTCTCTCCTGAGGTGAGTATGTTTCCATTGAAAATTCTGCTTTGGAAATTACTATGATGTAGATTCTGCACCCATTAAGCATTGCATTCATGATTTATACCTTCATTTTGTTGGATTTTGAATATGATCCTGTGTCCTTAAATTAACGGTTTTCCTAATGTTTGCCTAAGAATATACAATAAATAGTAAGATTTTATTCGAAATTGTGGCATTTAATGTTATTGTGTGATTTTCAATTCATTGGATCTTATGATTTCTATCATGTTTGGATTTGCGTTCAAAACCCTGCAAATTCGCGTTATTTTTTTTCCGCTACTCGTTATAGTTTCTACATTGGATCTACGTTCTAACACATTCCAAACACACTTCAATAAAAAAAGTTATTATATACATATTCTTATTGTGTATCCCTGAACACACGATAGAAATAAAAGCTGTATATTAAAATCTCAAGAATGCAAGTAACATAATTTTAACCGATGGTTAACATTGATTGAAAATTACAAAAATTATGTGACTCTATCTTTCTCACTCCTAATGTAATTCTTTTTTATACTTTTGTAGTTTTCAATAAATTTTAACCAATAGTTAAGAGTGTGTTACTAACATTTTTCATAAAATCTTAAGTCTGTGACAGTGTATGGTCTAGGATCAATGTTCTGCCTTACATGATGTGTGCTAAGTGATTGTGTTTTGTGTTCAGTTTTCATTTGCTCGGTACATGTCCGCCCAAGGTTTTGATACATGGACTCTTGAGGTTCGAGGTGCTGGGTTGAGCACACTTGGGGATAGCCTGGAGGATGAAGAGGAGTGCCTCAAGAATTTAACTGAGGTTGATTCTGCAATTGGTGATGGTATTGGTAAAAGTCGTGCTTCTTCTGCAAGAGCAATGGGATTTAAGAACCTTGGTGATTCTTTTGTATCAGAAGTTCCTCGCATGAAAAGTAGAGAATCCAAGATAATGACTAAATTTGAGGAAATGCGGCTAACAACAAGGTTGTTGGAGATGTTTGCAAGGATATCTGAAAGGCTTGCAGGGTTTCTCAATGGGGGTTAGTGAAGTGATCTTAGAAACTTGTCATTTTTAATAATGTGTGGTTATATGAACTCTAACATGAACATTAATGTTACAGATTTGTTGGAAGGAGGACAGACTTCTGCAGTTCGTGGTCAAATCAAGGATTTCAATCGAAAAATTCAAGCTATTATTGAAAATCAACAACTGTTCCCTGCACAGATTTTGGAATTGCAAGACCGTTTTGCTGCCACTCTAGAAGAATTCCAAAAACAAATTGAGCTGATTGTCAAGTATGATTGGGACTTCGACCATTTTCTGGAAGAGGAAGTACCTGCCGCGGTGAGGTGACATTCTTTTGTTATATGCGACTTTTAATCTAACATGAGTTGTAATTTAGCTCTTTCTTCACTTCTTTGGTGTAATTTTATTATTTGCTTGTTCCACTATTTATTGGCATAAGAATTTGGATGATCTCATTAGATTTGCTTCTCATTTATTGGTTTGATACCTGTATAAATTAGATGAAGTACATAATATCTCAATGTCAACCAAAGGATGGAAAATTGCTGGCAATTGGTCACTCAATGGGGGGTATCTTGTTGTATGCAATGCTCTCACGCTGTTGTAAGTCCCACCGATCTATTGTTTATTTCTTCTGCGACTTCTGAAGTTATGGTACTGTGTTACTTTGCATTCAAATTTGCTTGTTTTTTGGTGCAAGCTTGTGTAAACAAAATTTGTCGTGATTGCTTTGTGTATTTCACTTTCTATTTTAATTTGATATATTTCAAACCTTTAACAGCATGCTAACTATAGCATAGCTACAACCTTCAATTTTCTTTGACTTCATTGTAAGAAATGTATTGAATCTTTTTATTTTCGACGATAGTGGAAGGAAACAAGTGCTTTCAATGTTTAGCATGTTGCAACATCTAATTCAGTGGCCATCAATTTGAAGGACATTATAAACCATTTTGAGCTTGGGCGTCCTTTATTGTGTCCATTCCTTTTTTATTGAGAGCCACATATTTGTAGCTTAATCATTTCACACATCACTAATTTATATCTCTACTTGTTTTACTGCAACCAATGTAGAGGACATTTAAAATATAAATATCTCTTGTCAAACATGTTATCTTCCTCTTTGATCCTGTGAGAAATTTTCTGGACAGCTTGAGATCTAGTGTGAAATATAAACCACATTGTTGTGATTAGTGAAGGACCTTATTTGTAAATCTGTTCTGGGAATCAATGTGTTGATCAATATTTCTTCTTATTTTCTACATAAATTATATGTCAGGTTTTGATGGGAAGGATTCAGGGTTGGCATCAGTTGTTACTTTGGCATCATCACTTGATTACACCCCTTCTAGATCATCTCTCAAGTTGCTTTTACCCCTGGCAAGTGATAAAAGAAATTGATTGTGTGGTGACATTTTATTTATGTTGTTACATGCCAGCGTTATGTCTCTAAACTTAAGAGAAAACTAAGTAGACTGTGTCTTTATTTTCAGGCAGAACCTGCTCAGGCCTTAAACATTCCTGTTATTCCAGTTGGGCCATTGATGGCAACTGCTTATCCTCTTGCAAGCTATCCTCCGTTCGTTTTATCTTGGCTAAATTCTCAGATTTCAGCTGAAGATATGATGGATCAAAAACTGTTTGAGAAGCTTGTTTTGAACAACTTTTGTAAGTTTCGATTTTTTTTCCCTCAGGCAAATATTCTCAATTTTTCATCGAGTGCCTTCAACATAATAAAAACTACGCATTTTTTTCGCAACAGAATTCCATATTAAGTTGTACATAGTAGGGCATCAGGGACTTCCATTGAGAAATACATTGTTGGATTATTCATCAAAAATAAATTAAGAGCTGATCCATGCATTGCATGATTGCATCTAAATTGGAAATATTAGTTAGCAGCATTCAAGTTCTTCATTGAATCTGTATAACTGTCGATTTTAAATAAATTCCTTATCATAAATTCTTGTGGATGCTCCAGTCAACTGATTTATGTACAGCCCTATTCCTCCTTTTCTTTGATAATATTTTCGTTTAGAGGTAGAATTAAATGAATTATACAACAGCCAGAACCGGATCTTCTATTTACCTACTTTGTTCCCACTTTCAAGCTTCTTAAATTGTGTAATCTATATATGCTCCTGCAAGATTTTTCTCTTACCGACTGGACCATGATTGACAGGTACAGTACCTTCTAAGCTTCTCTTGCAGTTAACAACAGCCTTCCAGAAAGGTGGTTTACGCGACAGGAGTGGAACATTCTTCTACAAAGACCATCTGCGCAAAAGCAATGTTCCTGTTTTAGCAATTGCTGGTGACAAAGACTTAATCTGCCCTCCTGAAGCTGTATATGGTATTAAAACTGCACTAGTCAATCCATTAAATGCTCAACTTTACAAAAATTTTTCTTTTATGATGAGTATAATCATAAATGTGAAGCAGAAACAGTGAAGCTTATTCCTGAAGACTTGGTTACATACAAAGTCTTTGGGGAGCCTGGTGGTCCACACTATGCCCACTATGACTTAGTGGGTGGTCGTCTGGTATGATTATTTCAATTATTCTTCTTGAGAAAGAGTTACGAGCACATATATTTGAACCAACTTAGAGATTTTTTCAATAGATGCATTTTCTTAACTTTGTATGTTTACACTCCATATTTCAGGCAGCAGATCAACTCTATCCATGTATTACTGAATTTCTCATTCATCATGACATGGTTTAGTCCATTGCTCTTTTGAAATGCCTCATTCTTTTGTACATCAAGGATTTAACTAGATGAAGATGCTCATAGATCCTGCCAATTATATGCATGATCTGTGGTATTGGTAATGCTTGGGTTCCCTGTATATATAGTCAAAGACAATTTACGCACGTAGTTGTTTGTAAATAGAGTACACAAGGTGACACAGCAAATTCTGGGATTGTTCTCACTATATTGTTCTGAATTTAAATCAAATTGTAAGAGTTTTACATACTAACTGGAAGTGAAGTTGCTATGGAATGTTATTTTATGAATTTTGTTTCTTTTGACATTGTTTTTGAAGTACCACTTTTTCACTTCTCTTAAATGATATTTTTAACATGCATAAGTGCTTTTATACTTTGATTGAACAATTATAAGTCCCTTTTCGTAAACACTCATAAAGTCAATCACAAGTGACTAGTAGAAGACACCTTAACAAATAAAACTAAAGCATGGCTATTTCTTATCTAAACATGCACTAAAACACACTCGAGGATATTTTTTATTCATAGAACATTATTTTACTCTCTCACTGACAATAGTAGTTAAAAATAATTAAATAAAAAATAAAAAGATTCGTTTTATGACCAAAGTATGGTTACTTGTACAAGTAACTAGAGTTTCACGTGTTTTTTATTTTTTATTTTCTTTTCTGTCTTAGGAAGTTTACATGTTTCTTTAAAAATCGAGATAACAAACATGCCTTATACTTGCTCTTTAAGATGTACCGTTATAATTCTATATCTTAGTCATGCATATTTGGAATTTTTTAAAAAAGAAATTATTATTTTCTAAAATTCTCTAAAATGGTTAAGAGAAACCCAAATTAGTTTATTCAAACGTACACTAAAATCATGTTTCCTCAAAAGTTATTTGGAATTTAATAAGACAGCGGCAATATAAGAGTTTTGAATGTTGTTTATCTGACGTATGTCTATAAACACATGTTAAGAAATAAATATTATTTTTTATATTAAAATTTACACTATTTAATATTATAAATACATTGAATCTGATGATATTTTATAAACAATATTTATTATATATAAATTAGTGTTTTTTTTATCAACTCGCTGTCTATCTTATTATATTCAAATTTCAAAACCATGCATGAAATGAAAAAGAAAAGCGTAAGGGAGACTCAACCATTTCTTGAATGACATTTCAGAATAATGATAATAATAACAAAAGGATTACTTGCATATCATATGCAAAATATCGTCCAATTACAACATCATCATCGAATATGTAACTTTTATTTAAGAAATTAATTTTAAATTATTGAAAATCATTAAGATACATGGATAAATTAATCTAAATTATATATTTTCATTAAAAAGTATGAAAATAAATTTTCCAACAGGAAAATAAACAAGTCCTATATAACACATGTAAATTGCCAACTCCTCACTAAGGAAGCCAAAAGTTTTAAAAGAGGTAATGAAGATTGCTTATATTGAATATAAAAAAAGCTATACATAAATTTAAGGTGAAGAAAACATGAGAACTGTGCCACTCAGATTCGAGCCACAACTTCTTGCTTACACACTGGGCAGAAGTTTTTATGCACTAACCATTGTTTTATACACTCAAAATGATAGCTATGTCCACAATTTAATCTCCCCAATTCATCATCCGATTCATACTCCTCCTGAGAATTAAAGCAAATTAAATGCATTAACATGATATTAAATTAGTTAAAAGCATTTTAAAAATCTTGGTGAAATGCAAATAAATTAAGCTAATGAAGGTAAAGTAATTTTACAAACTCACTTGACAAACACTGCACTTTTTTTCTATTTGATGCTTTGATGTATCATTTGAAATTGAAAGTTTAACTTTCCTTATGTTGAGTCCCATCTCATCTTCTTTAAGTCCAGTGTTGACATAACCAATTCTCTCACCCAGCTCAAGCAATTGCTGATAAGTAAACCATATATTTTGATAATCAATGAAAATGCATGTACTCACATATCAATGGCATATATGGGAATTAAATCATTGCAAAATACAAATAATAGTAGTCAATTTAATTTAACGGGAGAAATAACTCACCTCATATGACATGTTATCAACATCAAGTCTCCAATCTCTAAATTGGTCATGTGAATTTAATCGTCCCCCCATAATTATTCTTCCTTGAAGTATCATTATCTTCAAAGTGCCAGCAACAATCAGAATATTCAATGTTACCTCTTGAATACAGTAATAAATAAGCCAAGTCTTTATGTATCTTACAATTATAACATTATGTACACAAATTTATTCTCATTTATAAACCAAAACGTCCACTAACAAGCCTTAGTTATTTGGTTATCAGCAATGCTACTTTGTACCAAAAAATAAATTTAGATGAACAGAAAGGTGGTTTTATTTTATTGGTTAAAAAGTAAATAGGAAATAATAATAATAAAAAAAAGAGAATTGAAAGAAATCATCGGAAACTGCTTTAGTAAATTTTTTCGTGAAAACATTTTTGTACCATTTAGTATTATGGTTATAGATGTAATCCAAACATAGAAGGAAATCGTGATAAATATAAAAATTTTAAGAGATAAACAAAGGACACAAATCTCACTGAATATTCTAATTTTGGGTAAATAAGACTATCTAACAACAATATGCTAAAACGACAAACCCAAAATAGTGAGAAAATGCACAGCACTCAAACTAAAATGACATCGAAAAATTTAATGGCTCAAATTTTAGTACATAACACATAAATGACAAACTAAATTATGAAGGAAGTCTTTTTTTTTATTCTAAGAACCACGTTATGGTAAGCAAATAAATGAGCCATAAACAATTGTGTCCACCTCTGCTTCATCACCATACAATGCAAGACATGCACGTCATTCTGATTTGAGTTATGATTTTTTCTTACTCAATTTTAAACACTCCCTTTATACATCTCTCTATCTCTCTCTTCCATTTGAATTATATGTTCCAACATGATCTTTCCAATCGAGTCTCGAGTACATGTGTTGATAGGGTGTAATGCAGAAAAGAGTGTGATACAGTAATGATACAACACACAGTAATGATACAACACAACAATACATGATCCATCTAGCTGGCCAAATTACACATTTGCATATCATGCACTTAACTTGGTTTTAGCAACAAAAATAAGAAAGCCACATAAAAAAGCTACACTTCGAAGTTCCACATGTACGGATACCAGTACTGGGTTTAATATAGTATGTAAATACAATAAATTTTTAAAGAATTAAAATACGAGTAAGATAATATATGTTAACAAAAATATATTAATATTTATGTATGCATATGATAACTTAAGTGAAATCTTAAGTAATAACTTTATAAAATAAAGTTTCCTAAAAATAAGGAAATATTCCAATAAATTCTGATGCATCGATATGCGAGAAAGGTTAAGGGATCTAAAAACTATGCCCAGGAAATTCAAGACCCTTACACAGCACTAACAACAATTTAAGATTTATTTTAATTTTAATATTATTTTTGAAAAAAAAAATGATAAGAGTAAATTATCATCTTCAGTCAAATCAAATTCAAAGACTAACTTATACAAAGCAACAGCTTCTTATGCAAATAACCAAAACTTAAGTGTCAACATATAAAACATGCATAGAGTGCATGATGCACTGTGATCAATGTCACCAAAAGCATCCATCAAAGGGTATTAGAGCAATTAGAACCAACCTCAGCAAGACCATCAGAGGAAGGATATGGAACATGGCGATAGAATCTAGCAGTGCCAAAAGGGTCTAATCCATGGCGTGCTGAAACAATGTCATGATCATCATCATCCACAAAGGAGAAGCTTTCTGAGTTCACAGTGCGCCTTCCAAAATAAGATGAACGCTACAAATATATTTATGAAGCACAATTAAACAATGTCAAAGCAAGTAGAAACCAAAATAATAACGAAACTTAACATACATAGAACAAAAGTTGCAACTAATCATTCACATTCGTATGTTTTGTACAATATAATAAAACAAAGAACTCTATAATACAAGTGATAATGAGTCTCCTCCTTCACTTCAAGTCTTGAATCACTAGACTATCCTACTCAAAGGGGTCCACAATAAACCAATCAAGAACTCCCCCGTGCGTCTTTAACTAGGAAATGTAATGCGTGCACGCATTTGAAAGTGGTAGCTATTTATACATTAATCTGAATCCCATAGAACATCTTACCATCTTTTTAATAATTCTCATAATTACTAAGATAGAAAGTATGGAAGTGTTTTTTCTTAATATATTTTTAAGACTACTAAGAGAATATTATAGAAAGATGTGACATTACTCACTTATATATGATCATGTAACACTTTCCCTAATCAACCCCCAATAAAGAGACAACAAACAAAAAACTATGAGTGTGTGCTGAAATTGAACGAAGACTCTTTTGAGGCCTAAAGTCTGACACATACATATGCAAATACCAGTTGACCAGAAAAAGAAGATAAATGAAAACAAAAAAATTATTAAAAATTTATATTTATCATGTATAAATATAAAAAATTATTTTTTAAAACAATCAAGAGCACATTTAATAGGAAATATTAGATAATCAATAATTAGTCCCTCTTAATTAGTAGACCCATATATGAAAGCAATTTTGCGGTTGTTGTGAACAAACATCAGAAATTAATCAATCAAAGAAGGCAAATAAGAAAGATTGGTGCGAAAGATCAATTTTTTCCCAAATCATGAAGATGACAAACACATCAAACAACAAAAATGAAAACTTTATACAAGTGCATCCTACTATATAACTATATATCATGCATAATGAATAAAATATTCCTCGTCTACAAAACAACATAGCAAAACACTTACAACAGATTTAACTACCAACTCATTGAAGAGGAAGGATTAAATTCATTGATTGTGCAGAAAATAAAATAGTACCTCCCTGTGTGTTATTCTCTCCACATCAAGTTTTCCTCTTGCAGACACATTCCTCCTACCCACAACACAATCCACAGATGCAACAGCAGCATCAGTTGAGAACCCAATTCCAGGGCCACACCAAACATCCTGAAAATCCACGAGGGAACCAGAAGAACCATCATCAACAACAACCCCATCACAAGTCTTGCTTCTGTTACTGTTACTGTTCCTTCTGTGTTTCTTCTTTCTGTTCTTCTTCCCTTGCCACTCTGCGGAGGATCGAATCACTGCTGGAACCGACACCTTCTGTGACTCACCAGCAGTGCAGCCGAACCCTCCGAACGTTGCAGCAGAGAAGTTTCTGTTGCTTTTGTTGCTTTTGTTCTTGTCCATGTTGTTGTTGTTGTTGTTTTTACTGTTATGGCCTCTTTCATGTGTGGTTTCATTGGTGGTGTTGGAGAAAGAAGATAAGAGAGAGGAGATAGCGGATTTGCATTGAACGGATTGGATTGTAGAAATTGGATGAGTTTCTGAAATGGGGTGTCTTAACTGGTTTCTTGGTCTCCTCCATTTGATGTGTTCTGTGACAACAGGCATGGTTGAGAGAGAGAGAGAGAGAGAATTGAGATGAATGAAATGTAATATGGAATTTGGTTGGTTTGGTTTGGAATGGAAGTGGTTTAACTAGCTTTGTAGAATGCAGAGAATGTGGATTGATTGGTTTTGAAAAAATGTTATTTTAAGTGGCTGTTTGTTGGGTGGGGTATGATTTGTCTTCTTGTTGGAATTGTGGGCATAAGCTATTATTCAATCAGTGTCTGAGGCCATGGAAATGGAATCTGTCACTGACTTTTTCTTCTTTTTGTGCTTTTCAAGCCAAACTAATGCCATCAAAGGAAAAGTTCAAAAACCCCTCCTTCCTCTCTCTCTCATTGTCTTGGACCTTAGTGCTTTGCCTTCAAGTAGAATGCAAAGTAGCTACCAAGGGGCTCATCATATCTTCTGATAAATAAATAAATAAACTGAGAAATATTTTCTATCATTTATTATGTTGTGTCTTTTTTAAAGGTAACCTTTGATGTAAGTTCCATGCAGTTCATTGTATTTGTTACCGGCGAAATTATTCTACAAGAAGTCATTGTGGGTGAAAGAAAAGGGGCAATAAATGAAAAGAGAAAAACTAATAATATTAAGATATATGGCAATTTGTAAAATTTACAAGTTAAAAGAATTTCCTTTTTAGCTTTGTGTGATCATGTCATAGGCAAATACAATGCTGAGTAGGGAGAAACATTGTTTATTGGTCATGTTATTTGTAAATAACATTAATTATATGATAAATTTTATATTTTCTTTTAGCAAGAAATTATTAAACTGCACTTTATTTTTAATTTTAAAAATTTTATTTCCTTCACTCCATAAATGAAATGGAATGTATTTTATTGTATTTTAAGGTAAACAAACCTTTTAGTGGAACACCTTTATTATTAACGAAAAAGACAGTATGATTTAAATATATTTCGAGACAAAATAAAAATCCTTTATTACTTTCTATTAAGTTATGGTATATTTGGAATTTCATTTTCACTTAATCGGCTTGTCTAAACAACTTCACTATTATATTAAAAAAAATTCAATATAATTCTTTAACATTCAAACAATATTAATATATGACACATTCATGAATGTATATATTTATAAATGAAGAAAGAAAGAAAATGATAAAAATTCTAATTATTAATTAAAATTTATTAAGAATCATAGAATTATTTGCCTCACTCTCTTAATTTAATTAGTTCCATTCATAATTTTATAATTTTTAATAAATTTAAATTAATAAAAAATTTTAAAAAATAATATTAGAAAATGGGTTACTATTGTTGTTTAATTTTTATGGTTGAGAGTCTTACTAGCAAAATAAAAAAAATTACTTCATTCAAATCCAGGAAGCTATGATTAATAATTTTGAAATATATCATTTTCTAGTTTCTGTTATCTATTTTAGAGAATAGTAGAACACTTTACATAATTATGTGAGTGCACTATCATGGTAAATGTTGTTTCTTATATCTCAAAGGTTGTTTATAACTTAACAAATTTTTTAAATTGAATCTTCATCCAGTTACTTAAGCTATGATTGGAAGTTAGGTTTAGAAGGAAAAAAGAAAAAAAAGAGGGATTAGGAAGGAATTAATTTTATTTAGGAATTGCTTAATTAAGAGGGGAAAGTTTTGAGAATATTTTAAATCCTTTAAAATTCTTTAAAAACTTATTTTTTGAGTTTCCTCATTTTGAAAGTTTTTTTCCTCTCTCTCACTCTTTTATATTATTTTACAAATAACATTTTTTAACTTTTTTTTTAAATATTATTTTTTTAAGTGATAATTTGAAAAAAAAAATTAAAACATAAAAATATTAATTTTAAAATTATTTATACAAGTAAACCCCATCGTTACTATTCTTTCTTAATATTGAACATCTAAATAAGGAAAGAATTTAATCTTCTTCTCTCTTCAAACTCTTTCCTTTTCTTTCTCTCTAAACTTCCAAACAAAGTCTAATTCTCATAAATTGTAATATTATGTTAACAAATTGTAGTATTATCTTAAAGAAGAAATATTAAAAAAAATAAATGACATAATAAACGAACAGTGAAATTAATTTATCTCGCATAATTTCTGGAAAACCCTTTAGTGGTTTTTATAATTGGGAGGTACCATGAAATCATCAAACGCTGTGGTGGATTTCGTGATCTCTGACAACGTAACACCGAACCTAAGACAACACAACACAACACAGCCATGAATCCAAACCTTCTCAGAAACTTGTCCTTCCACGCGCGTCGTCTTCGTCTCCCTCCCACTCCTTCCCTCCTCTCTCTCTTCTCTTCTCGCACTAACCCACCTCCTCTCTCCCACCATACACACAACAAACGCGACCCTCTCGTCGAGGATATTAGCAACGAAGGTAATACCCATCTCCGCATTTTCATGAACCTCTTCCTCAATTGTTTCTTTGTACTTGCGTGTCCTTCAGCTGTTTGATGTAATGTTTCTGTCAACGCTTACAACTTATCTCGTTGCTTCAAGCAGTCTTATAAAAGAGAAATGCTCCAGAATACGTTCTCTTTTACATTTTTTTTTATTCTTTATTATTACGTGGAATTCACATGAGTTTCTTTGACACACATATATGTTTATTGTAACTCCTTTTTTAAGTGATTATTTTCTAAAATATTCTTTTTTTCTATCTTATAACAATATCAATAGTAATGAAACTTTGTAAAAGAAAAGAAATTTTGAATTAGAGTGACAATAGAAATATGGATGTGATAATAGCCACTCCCTTCATTAAATATAAAAATCTATCTATCTATCTATCTATATATATGTCACTCAATACAAGAATGTGTTAGAAGAATTTGTTGGAAAGTTTATAACGTTTCTAGTGTTATGAAAAATCAGACATTGAACTGGCAATAACTCCTTGTCATGGTTTAGTTAGTTCTATTCACAGTAATTGAACTGTACAGGTCCTTTTATTTTTTAGTAAAATTGATTTTGAACTGTTGAAGTGTTTCAAGTATTTATTTTTTTAATAGTCCCTACTGAAAGAGAAATTTTGGTTTTTGCTCTTTTGGGTTAAAGAGTTGATGAGGCGTGTAGCAAAGCTTCAAGAGGATGGTGCCGACGCAATTCCTTCTATGTTTGAGGCTATATTGCAGAGGTATTTAACAGGCAACCCTATAGAAGCTGACAAAGAATTGATGAGGGAAATTCTAGGGAAGGGAACTGAATCAGAAGATGATGAAGACGACGAATTGGATTCTGATTTGGAAGGAATAGATGATGAAACTGATGAAGAAGATTTTGATCTTGGTTTTAGCAGAAGGAATGAGGCTGATGGAGGAAAGACCAAGAGATGAATGAGCTCTGCAATTGCTGTCAATATTTGAAATCATCCTTTTTGGTGTGTTGGGTATAACAGATAGCAAGAGATGCCTTTGGACTAGTGCTGTTAAACTGTATGGTGTTTGTTTTGAATTTCTTATCTCTTGGTTGCAGCGGTTTTACTGTCTGTCAACATTTGTCATGGTGAGAAATTTTGCGATTTTGTGGTCAATAATCTCAATTAAGAAGTTATATACACTGTAATACTACTTATAAATATAACTAGTCTTGTACCTCTTATGGAAGTGGGACTGCAATTATCATTGGCAATGCTACTTCTATTATCATCTTGCTGAAATAGCAACAACCTAATGGGCATTTGAAAGTTTTTTTTCTTGGGTGGGGGATATAAGTGTAACACTTCATAGGAAAATAATCTACTATTTACTAACGAATAATTCTAAACCTCCTCTCTTCAATTTGCGCGTACTAGAATAAACCTTATTATTGTATTTCCTGTAATTCGTCACATGATTTCATTGTCAATTCATCAAATATATAAATAAAGGGTATAACTTAGCTATAATTAGTTAAATTGGCATATCAAAATGCCTAATTTTTATTGAAAAGGTAAGTAATAAGCAGATTCATGGATGAATGCCACCATAAACCAGGAAGGAGAGAGAAAATTCACAGTAGATTCTATTTACAGCCACTTAATCATCAATTGAAATACTAAACAATGTAAATAAGGAATTGCACGACGAGATCACTTATGGTGAAAATTTTCTCATCAGTTTGCTTGATTTTTGGGAGTTCTGAATTGCATGATGTTTGGAGACAATTCTGTTGATGAGATCCCAATCTGATATGAAGGTACCAAGCATACTGTAGAAGAGTAGTGTGTATTTATACCACATCAATCTGTCATCACAAGTTTGAATCTAATAAATATCTGAAAGCAACAAAACTTTTCCTTGCATGTCACCAGCAAGCATCCCAAAAGCTCTTTGAAATGAATGAGGAATTTCATTAAGAAAGAACATACAACAAAGGAGCAATGATATCCCAAATGACAACATATAAGTACCTAGCTCGTATGGAACAATTGATGACAGTGACGGATCAACTTGAAGCCCATATTGTTAAAGTGTGGCGCGTGACTAAGCTAGCAATTTTCAGTGGTTCATGCACTATATTTTTCAGTAGGTATCCAAGTGAATGTATACAAAATTTCATTTTGGTGCCAAAAGGAAAGGTAATGTGACTATAATTACCAATAATTGAATTGGTGGATGGCCACACATTGCAGCACATGGTTGATTGTTGGACTACTGTTAAATTAATAAGGCAATGTGCAGATTTGCCATACAACCATTTGAAGTCTTCTGCTGCTTCTGATAACTACTATACACATATCTTCATCTCATTACTTAGTCTATTTAAGACCAATACTAGTTCTTTCATGGGAAGTTCAGATGATCCTCCAGCTGAGAATTCTTGAACCACTCCATTGATTTCAATCATGCTACAGCCTGGGATTTTATTTTCTATTCTTCTTTCTTTCATTAGATTCCTAATTCTTCTGGCAGCATCAAACCTGCCAGCTTTAGCATATATATCACACAAGTTTATGTAGAAAGCATGATTACGAGGTTCCAACTCTATCAAATTATGAGCTACCTTTTCTCCTAATTCTACATTCCCATGCATCTGACATCCTCCAAGTAATGCACCCCAAACATAAACATCTGGCTTCATTGGCATGCTTCTTATGAGAATCTCTGACTCATCAAAGAGTCTGGCTCTGCTAAGAATATCAACCATGCAAGCATAGTGATAAACTTGCGGTTCAATTAAGTAAACACATTTCATGACATCGAAGCACCAGCGACCTTGCACAACCAAACCAGAATGAGCACAAGCTGACAATAATCCAACAAATGTCACATGGTTTGGCTTTACTCCAGCTCTTTCCATATCTGAAAAGCAATCAAAAGCCTTCCAACCTAATCCATGAACAGAAAACACCAAAATCATTGCTGTCCAAGCTGATGTATCCTTTTGAGGCATTTCTTTGAAGATTTCAAATGCTTTCTGCACATCTCCACACTTGCCGTACATATTGACTAGTGCTGTTCCAATTACCACGTCACACTCTATGCCATGTCTTCTCAGGTAACCATGCACCCATTTCCCATGGTCTATAGCACCAAGTTGAGCACAAGCTGAAAGGACACTTGCTATAGTAATTTTATCCGGTTTAATCTTATCATCATTCAAAATCTGCATTTCATGGAAAAGTTCTAGTGACTCCTTAGCCCTCCCACCTTGCACCAGCCCTGTAATAATGGAATTCCAAGTTATGACATTCCTCCCATTCATCTTCCTAAACAAATCCAATGCCATGTCAAGTCCTCCACTTCTCGAATACCCAATAACCATTGAGTTCCAAGTGACAACATCTCTAACAACCATTTCATCAAACAACTTCCTGGCATTATTCAACAACCCACAACTCATGTACAAGCTAATCAAACAATTCCCAACATAAACATCCTTAAAAAATCCAAACTTTATCACTTGGGTGTGAATAACTTGGCCAGTAGCACCATATTCCAGCCACCTAGTGCAACCCTTTGCAAGGAAAGTGAAAGTGAGGCAATTGGGCACAATGTCCTTGCAAAGCATTTGCTTATACAGCATCAAAGCCCTGCAAAAATGGGTTCCATCATCCACCTCCATCTTTACATTTGCTCTGATCATGATGTTGTAGACACGAAGATCTGGGTTCTTGATCGTGTGAAAAACCTTGGTGGCATAGTTGAAAGAACTATAATTGGAAAAGGAGCAACAAAAAAGGAGACGGGTAATGAGATGATATTGGTCACCAATGTGTAAAGTTGGGGACTTTAGAATATGAGTATGAATTGTTTTGAGCTCTCTCAGGTTCTTGCATTCTTCAATCAACCTAGAGAGTGTGTTCCTTATTGTTATGCTTTTGGATTCCACAGTTTTGAACTCAATGAGGGTAACCATCATCGTTATCTCAATACAATAGAACTCACCACATCACTCATGGTTGAATCAGCAATGAAAAGTTTTAGGATTTGGTTAACTGCAGTTCTTAATATTAGAAAAAATATTTACTATATTAAAAATATAAAAGTAAAATAGATATTTTTTTAAATAAAATATTATCATTTTTACATATTAATTTTAAGATTATCATTTTTAGATGTATAAAGGGAGGGGTTTCTCTCAATGAGGTTGGGATCTGAATCCTCTGCAGTGAAAAATTCACTGCACCAGGTCCTGTTTCCATTATAACCATTATTATTATATTTATTATTTTTTTAATTTTTTTTTATTTCAATAGTTGAGATCGTCTGCACTAATAAAATCATGAGTTGTGTCAGGTCAATCAAGCTTTTATTGTGATGCTGCATATAAAGTCCATAAAAATGCCATGTCTAACTAGGTTGAGATTTCCAGCTTTAAGAACTTTGAAACATTCACTTGATTTATTCGGTTATTGCCCCCAAAATTGTTTTATTTTCATGATTATTATCAGAATTAATTAATTAACAAATTTTATAGGAGTCCTGTCTTTCTTGTTTAGTTTTAGGCATCAAAGATAATATCTCACCTTTTGCACATGTTGACCATTTGACCTTCAACGTTGCTTCAAAGAATGATTTGTTTTTTCGTCAGTATATATGTCATTTGCTTTGTATAAATGGTGTTCAATGGGACCCTAACTACTGTATATTGAGGGATTCTAATCTTTGAGCTCCTAAAAAAGGATAAGGACCAATTAACCTTATTCAAATGTATTTTTAGGCTATAATTTTGATTACAATGTCATCATTATTCAAATAAAAAAGGATGAACTCATTGATTATTTGAAATAAATATTGATGGGGTTACCAGAATCAAATTTAATTGTACCAAAAGAAAGAAAATTGAAGTAGAGAGTTGAGATTGCAGTTATGCTATACTGTGAAGGTAGTGATGCAGAATAGGAAATACCTTGCTTCAATTTCAAGCCTCCCTTTTTTTGCTGCCTTTCTTGCGTGATCCACATTGTCCCACGTTAAATAAAGTGGTGTTAAGAATAAAAATGAATAAGTTCCAGTATGTAAGAAAGCAAAATAAAATAAAATAAAAATGTAACTTGTATAACTAGTTTTGTTGCCCTTTGGGCATTGGAATTACAAACGATTCATACTCTAATTTCTTTAATGATGGGCTTCTCAAATCACTCGTGTGTATTATCTCATAATTTTAAACTTACCAACTGCAAGTTAGTGCGAATATCTAGACCCAAAAAAGTGTGTGAATACAAGTGTACCTTGTAATGTATGACCAAAGCTTTCACTGAAAAAGTTCTGGTCCAAACTTTTAGAAAGGAATGAAAATCATTGGATAAATGTTACATTGGAATTTGCATTACTAACTTTCAATAAGCACCGTAGCTCTTAGTGCCCAAAATTAAAAGGAGAAAGCTTTTCCTTAAGTCTCCCCAATAGCTAACAATATCTTAGCCATTAGGGAATCTTCAATGTGAAAAAGCTTCCTTGCCTAGCAACATTCTTAGATGACAAAGGGAAACTGAAGAAAGAAGGTACAGAAGAAAAACAAAATATACTCTTTCTCAAAAATAACTGTAGCATGTTCCAAATGCTTTTCTAGGAAGATTTCCTTGCAAATCTCTTCAAACAACCTATTACAAGGATTGCAAGCTTTTCATCATAACTGCAACATTAGCATATATTTGATGGCATATTCGTTTTCCAAACCCTGAAATGGAGAGAAAACTAAGCCTTGAAGACAAACAAAGAGTTTCATTGTTCGATAGGAGGAGGCAGAAGCATGATCATGTTGATGCAAGGCATGACAAAATTTGTTCTTGTTCTAATTTGGTTTCTCCTCAGCAAAAAGGTCACAAAAACAGGGAAAAATTGATTGAATTCATTTGTAGTAGTTGCTTACTTTGTGTTTGTTGTCCACTAGCATGTATATGTTGTTTCATCAAGCTACCATGTAGAATCTGTCATCAAGCAATGAGGCGTGCTTGGCAATGGGCTTGTTTTGGATCAAAGAATAGGATATTAGCAGATTATTCTTCATTTTCTGACATTGATTAAGATATCATGTCATGTAAGGTTAAGCCTTGTAGGAATTATGAACACATAACAGATAGATTTCATCACTTTCCATGTATGTAGGCTATAAAAGGTCATCCAAAATGAGTTTTTTCCTCCATATATCATTCTCTTGTATTACAAGGCATGAGTATTATTATGATTTTTGCTTCTGATAGTTCAGTTCTAATAAAAAAAAAATAGTTATGATAAGTAATACTCCATACATCTTGTTACTCTTGTATCTGAAAATAAAACTAAAACCTTTTTTATTAAAAGATTCAAGCACTTACACAGTTACACTTTGGAATGAACATATAAAATCTTGATTAGTATTTGTTATTTTGAACTACGCCTTCACTGAAAGAAATGACCTTTTAACTCAATAATGCTGTTGTTGTAAAAAAGAATATAAAACCTTTGTCAAGAATGGGATTCGAACCCATGCCCTTTCGGACCAGTACCTGAAACTGGCGCCTTAGACCAACTCGGCCATCTTGACACTATTGACACATTTTGTAAGCCTAATTAATCATAGCTGATTTATGCAAGTTAATATTCCTTGCTTTATCTTTGTCAATTATTTCCTATTTTCCTTTTGTTTATGAACTTGTTCATAAATTCATGCAGAAATGTAAATTTGGTTGAGCTTGATAATCCAATCGATGAAACCTTTTGGTTAGATCCTAAATAATTTAAACCTGAATTTTAGCTCGACTTAATTTTGGTCTTATTTATCTGAAATCTCACTTATTTTTTATCTTATAAGTTATTGTGTAAGTATGACATTAATTTTATTTAGAAAACTAAAGCTCATTTGGCAAATAGATTAGCTCTTTAATTTCATAGCTCTTATTTATTTATATTTTAAAATTAAATTTATAATACTTTTTAAATAATTCGCAGGCCAGTGGGTAGGCCCTCCCAACCCCACATTATTACTTTGTACTCAAGTGATCCAATGTACTACTGACCAGAAACAAAAAAAAATAAAAAAAATACTAATCCAAGGTTGTTCTTTTAGTTTTTTATCCTCCAAAAATAGCCCAGGCCAAATTCTTTGGGCCTATCCAATTTTACAACATACTAGAAATTAAGAGTTTAGTTTAAATATATTGGCAGTGTAATTTTGTTCTATATTTTTATCCAATTATGAATTATACCATTAAAATAATTAATTTTTGTAATAATTAAGCTCTTAAAATAGAAATATGCGTAAAAATTAGTTAAAATGTAAAAATCTTATGACAAAATTATACTCTTAAATTAAATATATAAGATAACTTGAAGTATGTGTGAATCATGGCATCACAATATTACCATCTCTAAAAAGAGAATGAAATTGGTGGATCCCACCCATGAAGAGTGTATGACGCATTGAAGAATAGGTCTCCATGACGTACAGAGGTGTTTATGCGTTGGTGCAGTGAAGTCACTAATTGATCAAACTGAGGCATTTATAGACAAGTGTAGGTCCAATGCAACCACATATTCAATTTTAGTTGTTCATGTTATTTGTCACCATCATAGTAGATGCATCCCAAATTATTTAAATTGTGAGGTCAAGGTTATTATATATAGTTGCATTAATTAACATTAGGCAAATAATTTTGCAACCACAATTATTTGTAGCCATCCCTAAAAAATTTTTCACAGTTACTACAACTCTTAGGTGTCATGATTCAGTCCCCTACTTTTGGAATAAGAGTTTGCTGTAATATTGAGATTTAAGACAAATTTTAAGGTCATATTGAAATGATATACATATTCCACCTGTCCTCGTCTTATATGTGCATATAATTTAACATCACTTGTCATTTTACTTTTTTTTTAAAACAATCAATTTGTAGAATGAAATAATATAATTATTCTCTAAAAATAATTTTAGAAATTAGTTAGTATGTAATAGTTTTTTAAAAGTCAATAACAAAACAGGTTTGGAGTGACTTTGTCTAAGATTTAATATATCCAAGTGATGTTTGGACCATTGGATTTGGAACCCAGAACTAGTTTCGAAGATGATGGCAAATTTTGCTGTTTTACTGAATTCAATTATGTTGACCTAGATAAATTAATATTTAAAGATTCTTTAACTATGTTGTATGAGTACACATATAAGAGTATTTGGTGTGCTATGATACGCAAATATAATTTTTTAAAATATTAAAATACAAATACGACAATATATATTAACTAAAATATATACTTATATTTATGTGTGCATGTTGAATATTATATGATAACCTTGGTCTAATCTTAATTAAATAACAATTTTATAGAAAAAAAATCTAAAAATAAAAAATATTCTAACAAATTTTATAAAATATAAAAATTATTACTAAACAAAAAAATAACAATGGATATGCCTAAAATACATATGCAAGTGTATTTACGTATATCTGTATTTGACATAAATAGTTTGACTGTTCTTATGTATCATTACATAAGATTCTTTTTTTTTAATTTGTGAGGACAATAAATCTTATTTCTTGTATTAATAAAATATTTTTATCTAAATAACTTTATGTACATGAATTTGGTTCTTCTAATTTATAAATATTTCAACAGTATAAATACTCCTTTAACAATCAACACTCCTCATTATTTTTTTTTTTTTTTGTATCTTTCTTTCTATTATTGAATATCACTTCTCTTATTTTTCTTTGGGTGTATGTACACCGTAGTGTCTAAGTAATATCTTCCGAAATAAAAAGGTTTGACAAACCTTTAATACCCTTTTCTTTTGTGGTATAAGGGTGGACCATTTTAGAAGTGGCGGTGCAGCTAAAAACTACTAAATATAGGGATCTACATGATAGTTAGCCTAGAGACCCTTCAGATGGCAACACGAGATCCAAGAAAATTTGGCACATATTTGAAAATTTTTAACTTCAGACACTAGACATTCAGTAGTTGTGTTTATGCTTTAGACTAATTAATAGGTTTGGCATACCAAATGCTTCATCACGATGACT